CCTCTAGATGTTGCCATGTGTCTCCTGGGCAGCTGAGAACCAAAGAGACGGTTTTCAGCTTTATTTGTCTAATTTCAGCAGAGAGATGGAAACTGTAAGAGAAAATCAAGTAGGAAATCCTAGCTGATCTTGCAGATTGTCTACTTTTTCCATTAGAGACTTTAGTATATTGATCATTGTTATTTCAAATGCCCAGATCCAACATCTGTGCCATTTCTGAATCTGGTTTTTTTGATCACTTTGTGTCTTGGTGTAGTGATCTGGGTATGTTGGGTTTTTTCTTGTGTTTTACATATTTTGCAATTCAGTGTTGAAAGCAAGACATCTTACATGGACAGTAGATTGGTTTTATGCCTTGAAATGAGCACCTCTTTTCTTCTGCTAAGTCTGTAAGTTTGGGACTGTGAGTTACTCTACTCAGGAGCTGGGCTGGATTTGAGGTTTGTTGTTGCTGTGATTGCCCTCATTACAGAAGAGGCTTCCAGTTTCTCTAGTATTACTTTGTGTTTAGAGTGGGGACTGGTTTTCCAGAGGGTTTTTCTTAGTATCTGCTCCAATTTCAGCCTTAGGGTGTCCTATAGGGCCTGTCTTACACTCTTATAATGCTATCAGCTGTGATTTCCTATTTGTTCATTCATTGAGAGCATATTTTCCTTTATAACATGAATCATATTTGTAATAGCTGCTTTTAAATTCTTTTCTACTAATTCCAGCATATAGGCCATCTTTAGGTAGGTTTCCATTTCTTTTGAGTATGGGTCACTTTTTCCTTTTTCTTTGTTGTATATCTAGTAATTTTGGATTGCATCCTGGGCAATATGAATCACACATTGCAGAGGTTCTTGATTCTATTGTGTTCCTCTGCAGAATATTAGTTTTTGTTTTAGCAAAACAATTAGTTTGGCTCACTTCAAAGTCCAAACTCTGCTGCAATTGAAATACCTGTTCAGTTATTTTGTCTTTAATTCACCTCTCTGGAATGTGAGTGCTTGTGGATTTCAGAGGTCAGCGAGGTTTGGCCATAGTTCATATATTAATACAAAATTTGGGCTTCCCTTTTTGTGCTCTTTCTTTCTGTTATTTTTCCCACCCCCTTGCTTTCCAACAGCTATAGTTGTCCCCAGATATGTCCTCTGGTTCTTCAGGGCAGTAAGACATGGGTTTTCTATCAACTTTGAGCTAACCCACTTGGCCTCTACTGGGGCCTTGCTCATGCAAAAAGCTATAAAACTAGGAATCTCACCCAGTGCTATTTCCTTCTTCCAAATGTAAACTCCCTTCATTTTCTACCTGCATTTAGTTTCTCTTTAGTGCCTTTAAGTAGTTGATTTTCATATCTGTTCAAGATTTTATAGCTGTTTTCTGCTGGCAGCTTTCTGGCAGCTCCCATGTCCAAGTCACCACTCTCTCTAACCTGTGCAGTCTGACTCTTCATCCTGCATGCACCATTACCCCTCTCCATCCCACTGCAGCGGAACAATGCTAACCTGATAAAACCTTCATTGGCTCCCCATTGCCAACAGGATCAAGTCCAAAGCATGATTTGGGCTGTCCCGATCTGGCCCTCTGCCCTGCCTTTGCGGCTTCACCTCACTTCACTCTTTCCCCTGCCCTCTGAGCATCACCATCCTTGATTTCTTTTCGTGTATGCTGTGCCCTCAGCTGTGAATACTCTTTTTCTTCCAAGCTCTCCTCTGCTAATTATCCTTCTAATCTCAACGTTGCTGTCATTTCCTGGCAGCAGAGGAGGCCTTTTCAGACTTCCCCTCAAGACCAGATCACATCGCCTGCTGTGCTCCCAGAGCCCCTACTACTTGTTCTTTCCTACCATCCCTCGTCATGATTTTGTTTTTTTGAGACAAGGTCTCCGTTGCTCAGGCTAGAGTGCAGTGTGTCATCACAGCTCAATACAACCTTAAACTCTTGGCTGAAGGGATCCTCCTGCCTCAGCCCCCCAAGTAGCTGGGACTACAGGTACCCACTACCACGCCCAGCTAATTTTTCTATTTTTTGTAGAGACAGGGTCTCACTTTTGCTCAGGCTGGTCTCGAACCCCTGGCCTCAAGGAATCCTTCTACCTCAGCCTCCCAGAGTCCTAGGATTACAGACGTGAGCCACCACGCCTGGCCCCTTGTCATGATTTTTTAAAATGTCTTGCTTTCACTCTAAACCTTGACTTCCACAAGGGCAAGTTTCCCGTCTCCTCTCTCCCTTTCTCTGACCTTTGCACCAAACCCCGTGGCTGGCACACAGTGGATCTCCAAATGATCTTTATTTAATGAATGGATTAAAGACAACAATAGTTCCATATGGCAATAGAATAGGAACTATTACTGTAAAATATGTTCCCTCCTGCCTGCTACACTCGATTGTAATACACTAATCTTATTTCCTGAAGAGGAATAAACCGACAGCTTTACACGAAGATGGAAACCAGCCGTTCACTGCAGTGTAGATGGGCCTGTGTTCTTACTGTGACAAGCGCCTCTGGGCAGATTTGATTCTCATGAAGTATTTTCATGAAGTAAAAATACTTCATGAAATAGCAACAGACTATGTTTTAGCTGTTGAAAATTACCACAAATAATTTTTAAAGGAATAACCTACTTGGGCTTTCAGGACGTTTTTGTACATTTTCAGAAAGTAGGTGCTGAAAAGTATCTTCCAGATTATGGGTGATGTGGATCCTTAGACAAGCAGTGAGAAGGAGACTCAGACAGGTGTTGGGCACGTGTATCAGCAAGAAATGTCATGAGCTTTTCCCCAGCTATGTGCCTATAGTGTGCATTATAAAAGAGAAAAGGTTAAATGGGACAGCTTATAAACACTTGCCTTGTAGGGGATGACCTGGGTTTATGCCTATGTCCATAGCTGACATCCAGTGTTTTGATTTATTTGTCTTTTTAACCTTTGTTTTTAACCTTTATTTGTCTTTTTAACCTTTAAGTATTTTTTTAATTTGCTGTATTGTTCTTTAGGGGACTAAGATTTTTAGGGAAATAACCACAGTTCCATAATTATAGAGCGGAAAATTTGATTAAATTTAAAATGTTGGTTTCTGTTTTCTACTATTTCCATGTTCTACTAACTTCGTCAAACTTTGTGCATAATATGCTCTTCCTGTAAAGATAAATGTCAGCTGCTGACAGGGTTGAGAATTCTGCTTGATGCTTGCTTGTAGGGCCTTTGCACAGAGAAGATCTTTGTTCGAGAAACTGTAGGCTGTATCTGTCCTGTCTTCATTAAGAAAGTTAGCTCATCCTTCCCACTCCCCAGGCCTCCAGGGAGGTGAGTCATTACAGCCAGATGTTCCTCATTCTCTTAGGAAAATATATTTTGGAGTGAAAGATGTGTTATCCTTAAGAGATAGTGTCATGTGCCATTACTTTGGACATCATTATATTTTGAGAGGGGGCATTGTTTAAATTGTCTCTTCATAAAAAGAAGTGGTGGGCATTCTTGGATGGTAAGGCTGCGAGTCTTCATTACATGCAAGGCCTGGTATCTTCCCTCTGCCTATCACACACCCCCGACACAGTGGGCCAAACACATCTCGTTGTCCTTGTGCCTGCCTCCCTGTGTCCTGGCTTGAAGATGGCCTCTCGTCAGGCTTGGAGGGATGGGTGAGAAGTGCACAGGGAGAGGGAGTCAGCAGGACCCCCTCCCCAGTCTGTGTTTGGGGGACACAGGTCCTGAGGAAGTGATGTTCACATGAGGCCTAAAGGGTGGTGAAATTAGCCAGGCTAAGGAGAGAACGGAGGAGTCATGTCGAGATGAGGGAACAGCTTGTGCCACTGTTCAGGGAGCTAAAGAAACTCTCATGACAGTTGTGTTCAGAGAGCAAGGGAAGAGGAGCACAAGGTGGGGCTGCAAGCAGACAGTCGAGGCAGTGTCTGACTGTGTCCTACCCTAAATCCTCAGAAACGTGTAGAGCTTCCTTTTTGCCGTCAGGCTGAAGTCCATGTGCCAGGTGACAATGGCTGTCCCTCACCAGCCCCTTTCCCTGCTGCCCTCCTGTTCTCTATCCACCCCATGTTTTAGCCACACTTGGCCTTTATTATTCTCCATCTTAAATGTCCTTGTGCCTTTCGCTCTTCTTACTGTCTGGCTGAAATACATCTCCCAACCCTCTTCTCTGTAGTTAGGCCCAGCTCAGTGTCATTGTGCTTTTGAAGCCTTCCCTGCTGCGCAACATCAAAGTGAGTGGCTTCTTCTCTGTGGTTTGATGGCACTTTTTTTTTTTGGAGACAGAGTCTTGCTTTGTTGCCCAGGCTAGAGTGAGTGCTGTGGCGTTAGCCTAGCTCACAGCAACCTCAAACTCCTGGGCTCAAGCGATCCTGCTGCCTCAGCCTCCTGAGTAGCTGGGACTACAGGCATGCGCCACCATGCCCGGCTAATTTTTTTTACATATATTAGTTAGCCAATTAATTTCTTTCTATTTGTAGTAGAAACGGGGTCTCGCTGTTGCTTAGGCTGGTTTTGAACTCCTGACCTTGAGCAATCCGCCTGCTTCGGCCTCCCAGAGAGCTAGGATTACAGGCGAGAGCCACCGCGCCAGGCCTGATGGCACTTTTTCATTCTGTTATTCTAATTGTCCATCCAGACTTGTCTGTGTTTGTATGTACATATGGCTTCCACACTAACATAGGCACATAAAGGCAAGGCTTTTATTTAGTTTGTGCTTTAGATCTAGTTGCAATAGTGGATCTTTGAATTTTGATCAGATTGCGTCAAAGAGGTAAGTGGCAGTCGTGGTTTAGAAGCATTCATCTGTGTGGAGCATCTCATCCCTAGAAATAAAACTTTCAGTGGAATGTTTTACATGTTCCTTGGCTAGGAGAGTTGTTTTGGACAAACAGGCTGTGGGAAGTTGTGGAAATGCCCTGGATTGGGAAGGGTGAGCCTCGAAGTTGAGAGGAGTAAAACACACCTCGTTGTACCTTTATTATTTTAAAGTTCAGCATCAGATTTCTTCATCATGCATTTTGTGCTTTGTGCAGAACATCTGTTACGAACATCTTCAACCAGCCGACCTGCTTCCCTGCCGAGAGTACCTGCCATGGAAAGTGCCAAGACCATCTCAGGTAATGACTTTTATCTGAAAAATTTTTTCAAAAGACTCTTCCAGAAGTTTTAGTAATGGTGCTGAATACTTTCTCTTTAGACTTATTTGACTCTACTTGCCTCTTTAGCTCTTGAGTTGATTATTTACCCTGAATTTGCCCTATTGTATCTTCCAGTTCTACAGAGATCCCATTTTTAAAATGTGACTTGAAAACAACAAATCTAGATAGTTCATTTATTTAACAAATATTTATTAAGGGCCTACATTGTGCTAGGTGATGTGCTGAAAATACAGCTTCATACAAAGTTGATATAATTGTGAAAGATTAGGGTATTTACTTCAAAGTGTATCGTGACTGATTTTGAAGCGTTATTTCAAAACACACCAAAAATTTTCTGGAGGCCGGGCATGGTGGCTCATGCCTGTAATCCTAGCTCTCTGGGAGGCCGAGGCAGGCGGATTGCTCAAGGTCAGGAGTTCAAAACCAGCCTGAGCAAGAGCGAGACCCTGTCTCTACCATAAATAGAAAGAAATTAATTGGCCAACTAATATGTATAGAAAAAATTAGCCGGGCATGGTGGTGCATGCCTGTGGTCCCAGCTACTCGGGAGGCTGAGGCAGAAGGATCACTTGAGCCCAGGAATGTGAGGTTGCTGTGAGCTAGGCTGACACCCCGGCACTCACTCTAGCCTGGGCAACAAAGTGAGACTCTGTCTCAAAAAAAAAAAAAAAATTTTTTTTTTCCTGGAATTTTTCCAGTATGATAAAGCCGTCCTATAATGACGAATTGGATGGGCTTGCTTTGTCTTATGGAGCTAATGCTTCAGTTTATCAATTGTTTGTATTATTTTTTTTTCTTTGTGACCTTTTCTTACACTTAATAGCTCAACTGGGAATTAGACCACGAGAGGAGAAATCCTTCTAACTCACTGAATGTCCCCGTGTGCATGGAGTGAAGTTACCCACAACTCTACATCAGGACTGGCCTTTACATCAGTGGGAAGTCCTGTGATCAGCTAAAATTCCCATATCTGGGCCTTTCTTACAATAGATTTCCTCAGATTCTTTCTCAGTCTGTTTCCTCCATTTTATGTGAAATTCTGAGAAGTTTTCTCATCCAGTTTCCTAGTACATTACTTAAAAGAAACTACCGATTTAAGGTATTACAAAAGAACTGACATTGTTAGAGAAAAAAGAATAATTATAAAATTATGTATGCCAGAACATATATAAGCATGTCTTTCTAAGATCATAAAATAGGAGAAAGCATCTGTCCCCTCAGGATCTTTACGGGCACCACTTTACTAATGCAGAGTTGTATTCTGTTTGTGGTTATCCTAAAATCATCAGGAAGACTTTAGCCAATAAAAGGGACGGTTTTAGTAATCAGGGCAAAACAATTGCTGGTGTATATCGTTGATTGCATTGAATCAACCCAGTTAATGGTTCCTGCAGACCCAGCTGCTTCTGAGGTGAGAGAGAATTTGTCTGAGCTCAGGGACTTTGTCTGGTGTGTCACTTTTCACTGTGCTCAGCCCAGTGTCCTGAGCACCTGGCAGTACTGAGGCCACCTTGCTAGCTAGAAAGCTACTTTTGTTGTGGCTACTTCTACTTAGCAGTTCTCAGAACTTTTTGTAATTTTAACAAGGTACAATATCTTACTATGTCAGACTTCCAAAATGAGACTTTTCTAAAAGATTGTTGCTGTTTCCCAATAGTTGACTTGATACCTTTTGGTTTTCTGCCTCATTGATTTGTTTTTTAAAAAGTAGCCCGGGCTGGGCGCTGTGGCTCACGCCTGTAATCCTAGCTCTTGGGAGGCCGAGGCGGGCGGATTGCTCAAGGTCAGGAGTTCAAAACCAGCCTGAGCAAGAGCGAGACCCCGTCTCTACTATAAATAGAAAGAAATCAATTGGCCAACTGATATATATATAAAAAAAAAAATTAGCCGGGCATGGTGGCACATGCCTGTAGTCCCAGCTACCAGGGAGGCTGAGGCAGAAGGATCGCTCGAGCCCAGGAGTTTGAGGTTGCTGTGAGCTAGGCTGACGCCACGGCACTCACTCTAGCCTGGGCAACAAAGCGAGACTCTGTCTCAAAAAAAAAAAAAAAAGTAGCCCGACCCAGAATTACAGTGTTAAAGGGAGAGAAAGGGGCGTTATTGGCTGAGTTCAGAAGGTTTGTGTTGGTTTCACATTGTGAGTATTGGACAGGGCTGAGTAGTTGCAGGTACTGCTTTAATTAGCCTTTGGTTTTTAGTTGTATTTGTATTTAAATAGATGTTTATATAGTACCCTCTGTGTGCTTGTAGGTACCTGTAGCATGGAGAAGACACACTCCTTGTCTACAAGGAATGTGGGCTTCGGTGCATGTTTGACTACTGTCCCTGTTCACAGATTTTTTTTTAATGAATAAAATAAGAAATCTTTATCAGTTATAAGTAAGATAAAGAAAGTATTAGGTTTTCCTCCTAGATGGCAATATCCGTTTTTTTTAAATCTTCAGAAGAAAAGATCTCAATTGAATCTAAAATATTTTTGCTATAAAATGCATGATGACTATTTTTCATGACCAGTATCTCGACGAAGTAGTGAAGAAATGAAGCGGGACATCTCTGCACCGGAGGGCGCATCTCCGGCCTCTCTCATGGCTATGGGAACCACGTCGCCGCAGCTTTCCCTGTCCTCTTCTCCCACAGTGTCCGTGACCCCCACCACCCGAAGCCGGATAAGGTAGGGAACAGTTAATATGGGTGTGTTTCACAGGTACCCTTCCTGGTCTGAGAGTAAACTGTCAGGGGGTGAAGTAATGGCCTTTGAGCTCTGTGACTTCTCCTTCATTTTGTGTTATTAAGTGATCACTGATCTTTTCTGTGTTCGGACAGAATTGGGTAAATGGTATTGAAGATGCTAACAAAGTAATAAAAGAGATGGCTCCTTTCCTGAGGTAGCTATAGTTTTATTTTAGTTTCTGTTTTTTTTTGTTTTTTTTTTTTAATTGGAGAATGGTTGAATACAAAAGTAAGTATTGTGAAATTTGAATCCTGGGGTAAGAGTAGAGGGTCAAGGAAGACGTCCTAGGAGGGTGGAATTTGAGTGGAGCCTTGAGGGCTGTGGATGGAGAGGGGCGTTATTGGCAAGGCCAGTAACTTGATGGAATGTGCGAAGGCCGATAAGTGAGCATATGGAGGGTGCTGTAGGTAGCTGGGACTGCAGATGCTCAGAGAGTGGATCCAGAAGGCCAGAGGATGTGGGCCTTCCCTGTGGGGGGTAGTAGAAGAAAAGATTGAGTAGGTAGAGTATGGCTAGGTGACGGAACCTCTTTCAAGTCTAATTGAATCACTTTGATGCAGTAGAAGTCATAAAGTGGGGTAAATAAATTAGTGTGAGAAGATAATTCAAGGACTATTCTATTCTGGATGCAAGACAGGGAAACCAGCTAAAAGGATATTATAGTATTTCTGGGACAGAGTCATCAAGTCTAGACCAGGGCAATAACATGGAAAAAGAGGTGAAGAGACAGTTGGACCCAGGAGGTTTCTCAAAAGGAAAGATGATTTCAGCAACAGAGTTTTATAAAAGGAATGCAAGAATGGGAAGTATCAAAGATGGCTCTAATTGTTTACACCAGGAGTCTGGTGCTACATTAATAATTGATAGACAACACACAAAAATGTAAGCTTATATTTTATTCATGTTCTCTTATGTCAGAAGCCACTTTGGACTCAGAGGTATTAAGAACTTAGAGGAAAAAAATAGATGTCCGAAATTTAGCAAACTTTATTTATAGGGATAAGGAAAAGTTATAGCCAGTATTAAGAACTGAAGGAGGAATAGGGATGAGTTACAGAAATTTAGCTGTATATTGATTTATAGCTTTAAGCATAAATGGAATATTTGGCCTCTCAAACTCAAATTACGGACTTACTTTTAAAGCCCTACCTCTAAGGGGGCCACCCTCTTAGACTAGTGGTCACGTAGTCGGGCACCGTTGGAGCAGGTGGGGAGCTTGGGCCAGCCTGGCTGTGCAGGGCTGTCCCCTGCGGCTGTGCAGAGGGCACTGGTGTGGGAGACAGGACTCCCGATCCTGCTGGCTCCCCACCAGGACCCTCACTCTTCCACAAGGTGTCTCCTGGCCTCAGTTCCTCCTCTCAGAACCAAGAAGTTACAGGAAATGACCTTCTAGCCCAGGGGGCTCTTTTCTGCAGCATCTCATTGTGTCCATAGAGTTTGTTCTACTTTGGTGCTTTTAAACTGTTTCTGTAACAAAACAGACCCGGTATGAACCAGAGTAAACTGTTCACATTTATTGTAGTAGTGACTTTCATGTTAAGCATGACAGAGTTTTGGTTTTTGTTTTGGGCTTGCCTTTTTACATTCATTTACTTAACTTTATCTTCATTCTCTTTTCCTATATTCAGTGATGTTATAACATAACAGACACTTTTGAGTCTTTTAAGCCAGCAGTCCCCAACCTTATTGGCACCAGGGACTGGTTTTGTGGAAGACCATTTTGTCACAGAACGAGTGTTGGGGGAGCAGGGGAAGCGGAGCTCAGGCAGTGATGTGCGGCCTGTTCCTAACAGCCCACAGACTGGTACCTGGCCATGGCTTAGGGACTGGGACAACAGCTTTAAACCAGAGCAGAAATCTGGGGGGCTGGCACACAAAAATAAAAGTGTATTTCTTCAAGGTAGCAGTCTAACTGCACATTGAACAAAATCTGTTTTGCTTTTGGTTCTATGATAATTATTGGTATTATTTCAGTGTACCTCTCAGTTGGAAAAGCTTCAGTTCTAAAGTTGTCCTCTTTGATTGTGTAGCATACTTTGAAAGGTGAATACTGACAGGGAAAATGTGCTGAGGAATGCTAGGCTGCTGGTGACATAGGAACCTTGAACCTCTAGGACCTTTACCAGGCTGCTGAGTTTGTGGTGTCTAGGGCTAGAGTCTCTCCTTTGCTTATAATCACTGACAAATAGGCCAATCTTTTAAGAACAGGCTACTTGTCAAGCAGCAGGTTATATTACAGAACGCTCTCTTTTCTGAGTATTCCTCAGTGTTGTGTTCTGCTTCCAAAGTAGCTACCTAAAGGAAGGACCTGGTGCAGAATGAGTAGGTTTGTAAGGCTCCCCTGCCCTGGTGATTGCAAAACCTTTTTTGATTCAATGTCTGGTCTGGGGCAGGATATAAATTTATCTACAAGGCAGTTGACAGTTCATAAAGTACCCTACATAAAATTTTAAAAAATAAATTATGTAGGCCAGCACGGTGGCTCACCCCTGTTGTAATCCTAGCACTCTGGGAGGCCAAGGAGGGAGGATCCCTTGAGCTCAGGAGTTCAAGACCAGCCTGAGCAAGAGTGAGACCCCATCTCTACTGAAAATAGAAAAATTAGCCGGACATGGTAGTACATGACTATAGTCCCAGCTACTGGAATGGCTGAGGCAGGAGGACCACTTGAGCCCAGGAGTTTGAGGTTGCTGTGAGGTAGGCTGATGCCATGGCACTCTAGCCCGGGCGACAGAGTGAGACTCTGTCTCAAAAAAAAAAGAAAAAAGTTATGTATAGCCATTGATTTCCCCCCCGCCCCTCCAAGCTTCTATAATGCGTCTAACATATAGTAAACTCTGAAGTTCTTTAAAGGGGCAGGGACCCTGTGTTGTTCATCATCAACTGCCTAGAACTTGCACAGTGGTGCTCTGCAAGGAGACATTGAATGAGTGAGTTTACAGAAAAATTCCATTTTTTGTGCAAGGCAAAACTCTAATGGTCTACAGTCAATAAAGAGTGTACAACTTCACACTAAACACACCTGAGACATTTTATGGAAGTTGTAAACCTTTAATTTTTATTGCTGTTTCACTTCCTCAAGTTGTAAGCTTCTTCCTGAAGGTAAGACCTATCTTAGAATCCTCCACCTTGCATAACCTTGTCCTTGTGGCTTGTTTTTTTTGTTTGTTTGTTTGTTTGTTTTTTGAGACAGAGTCTCACTTTGTTGCCCAGGCTAGAATGAGTGCTGTGGCATCAGCCTAGCTCACAGCAACCTCAAACTCTTGGGCTCAAGCAATCCTACTGCCTCAGCCTCCCAAGTAGCTGGGACTACAGTCATGCGCCACCATGCCCGGCTAATTTTTTCTATATATATTAGTTGGCCAATTAATTTCTTCTATTTATAGTAGAGACGGGGGTCTCACTCTTGCTCAGGCTGATTTCGAACTCCTGACCTGGAGCAATCTACCCGCCTCGCCTCTCAGAGTGCTAGGATTACAGGCATGAGCCACCGTACCCGGCCTTGCCCTGTTTGTTTATAAGAACTGATTTTAAAAATGATGAGATGATAAACGACATAAAAGTTTGGAAACAAAAAAGAGTAAAATAAACCAAGGCATAAAGATTATGGAAGGGTAAGGTAGCAAATGAAAGGCAGCTACAGCAACTTCAGATGCTGCCATATTAGGTTGTTTTCCCTCTTCTGAATACCCTGGAATTTCTATTAACCCTAAATGTACTCTGTTCTGAGTCTTTGCCACTTTCCATGGGTGTGATGGGTAGAGTCCCTCCGTTCAGACAACAGAGACCCCTGATAGCAGTGGATCTGTGGGGCCGCAAACTAAAAATGAAATGAATAAAATGATATGTGTTACCATTGAGTGGCTGCAGAATGTGCATTTGTCCTGTTCAGAAATGTACACTAATACTGTTCTTTGGTGCTCAAATAAAACATATGTCAACTTTGGGTTCTGTGTTTTCACTTACCAGGGAAGAAAGAAAGGACCCTCTCTCAGCATTGGCAAGAGAATATGGAGGATCAAAGAGGAATGCCTTGCTGAAGTGGTGTCAGAAGAAGACAGAAGGCTATCAGGTAATCACATGGTTCTTTGACGCCCCACATGAGTAGTTTGCCATACCAAGTGCAAGAGTTTCACAGCTTGCTCTGCACATCACGTCAGAACTGATGGGGTCCTAGACCAGATTTCAGGAATGTGCCCTCAAAGTCCAGTCTGACCTTGAGCATCAGTGGATGAAAGAAGTTTGCTACCTTTCCACTGTAGCCTGTCTTCGTAGTACTTTATTAAGCTATTATATAGCACTTCCTTATTTAAGTCTGGGTTAAATGCTCTAGTTGCAGTATCATCTGCTGAGAGTGGAAACACATTTATTTTACTTAAAATGAATACTTTAATTATGTTTATCATATCTTTTAGCTGAGTTGATTTTCATAGCATTTTTCTGTGCCACTGTGCTTCGTGCTCTTGTCATTTCATATCTGAGCTGTTTTAATACTCTGGCCTTTCTTCCATTGTCTGTCTATCTCTCTTTCAGTATTTTATTCAGGTTTTATTTTAAGTGGTGTTCAGTATCACTTGGTAAAGGAAGCTCTTATTCCACACAAAATGGAAACACCTAAAATGCAGCCATTGTACTGCCAAAAAATACAGTTTATTTATTTATTTTGAGACAGAGTCTTGCTTTGTTGCCCAGGCTAGAGTGAGTGCCGTGGCATCGGCTTAGCTCACAGCAACCTCAAACTCCTGGGCTCAAGCAATCCTGCTGCCTCACCCTCCCAAGTAGCTGGGACTACAGGCATGCACCACCATGCCCAGTTAATTTTTTCTATATATATTAGTTGGCCAATTAATTTCTTTCTATTTTTAGTAGAGGCGGGGGGCTTGCTCTTGCTCTGGCTGGTTTTGAACTCCTGACCTCGAGCAATCTGCCCACCTCGGCCTCCCAGAGTGCTAGGATTACAGGCGTGAGACACTACCCCGGGCCAAAAATACAGTTTAGATTTTCAGTGTCCTCATATTTGATTTTAGTTAGAGATTCTTCCCATCATTTTATATTTATATATATATATATATTTTTTTTTTTGAGACAGAGTCTCACTCTGTTGCCTGAGCTAGAGTGTATATTTTTAAGATTCATCTATGCCATAGCATGCATTAATATTTCATTCCTTTTTATGGCCGTATAACATTTCATTGTATGGATGTACCACATCTTGTTTATCCATATTTCTGTTGAAAAATGGCAGCTGGGTTGTTTTAACTTTTTGGGGGCTGTTATATATATTACTGTTATAAACTTTTTTATTTTATTTTTTTTTGAGATAGTGGCGTCTCTACATTGCCCAGGCTGGCCTTGAACTTCTGGGCTCCAGTGATCCTCCTACCTCAGCCTCCCGAATAGCTGGGACTACAGGCATGCACCACTGTGCCCAGCTTGTTGGGAACATTTGGGTACAAGTTTTTGCATGGACATGTAATATTCCCATCCTCTTGTTCATCTTCTAGCCTGCTGCCAACTGTTTTTGAAATTATGACCTTGACCTTGTTATTTCTCTTTAAACTGCTTCATGTGTTTCCCCTTTGCCATTTGGGTAAAGTCCAAGATCTTTGGCTTGAAGAGCCCTGACTCCTCCTCAAAAAGTCTTGTGAAATCCCCAGTCTCACCCTGGCACCCAGGGGCCCTGTCTTCTCACTGCACCTCTTCCACCTGCCATCTGGGGAGTGTCTGTTCTTCAGCTTAGAAGTTGCTGTCTGCAGAATTGTCTTTGCCTTCCACTCCTCCCTGCAAACTTTCATCCCTCATATGTTGTCCTCCTTCCCCATATAACCCGTGGAGCCGGGTTCTTCCTTGATTTAAATTCAGTCCAGTTTAATGTGTTTTCTATATTTCAGGCATATTTGGGAATCTTCTTGACTATAATCCACTTTCCTTTTGGTCCAAAATCCTATAGGATATATCACAGGTTATTGAAGTTACCAGTTTACATGTTTGTCTTCCTTTACAGACTGTGTAGAAGGATCTGTCTTTGTCTACCCAGCATCTAGTATAAGAGTCAGTCCTCTCAAACCCTGCTGCTGCTTTTCAACCAAGTTTATGTAATATTTTAAGTTCTTTGTTATCATTTCAGCACTATTCACAGTATGTTCACCAGGAGTAGATTCCATCTTAAGAAACGACTTTCTTTGCCCATCCATAGGAAGCAGCTCCTCATCCATTCAAATTTTATGTGATGTTGCAGCAATTTAGTCACATCTTCAGGCTCTACTTTTAATTCTCATTCTCTTGTTATTTCTACCACATCTGCAATTACTTTCTTCACTGAAGTCAAAGTCATCCATGAGTGTTGGAATTAACTTCTTCCAAACTCCTGTTAAATATTGTTATTTCAGCCTCTTCCCATAAATCACAAATGTTCTTAATGGCATCTGGAATTTGTGAATTCTTTTCAGAAGGTTTTCAATATACTTTGTCCACATCTATCAGAGGAATCACTGTCTGTGGCAGCTATAGTCTTACAAAATGTATTTCCTAAATAATAAGACTTGAAAGTCAAAATTATACTCCTTGATCCATAAGCTGCAGAATGGATGTTGTGTTAGTAGCCATGAAAACAATATTCGTCTCCTTGTACATCACCGGAGCTCTTAGATGACCTAGTAAATTGTCACTGAGCAGTAATATTTTGAAAGGAATCTTTTTTTTTCTGAGAAGTAGGTCTCAACAGTGGGCTTTAAATATCCAGTAAACCATGCCATAAATAGATGTGTTGTCATCTAGGCTTATTGTTCCATTTCTAGAGCACAGGCAGAGTAGATTTATCATAATTCTTAAGGGCCGTGGGATTTTCAGAATGTCAAATGAGCATTAGCTTCAACTTAAAGTCGCAGCTGCATTAAACCCCTAACAAGAGAATCAGCCTTTGAAGCCAGACATTGACTTCTCTGTAGCTATGAAAGTCCTAGATGGCATCTTCCAAAATAAAGCTGTTCGATCTACATTGAAAATCTGTTGTTTAGTGTAGCCACTTTCATCAGTGATTTTAGCTACATCTTCTGGATAACTTGCGATCATAGCTTGGAAGACTGAGGCGGGAAGATTGCTTGAGCCCAGGAGTTCAAGGCTGCAGTGAGGTAGGATAGAACCACTGCACTCCAGCTTGGGTGACAGAGCAAGACACTGTCCCTTAATTAAAAAAAAAAAAAGAAAGAAAGAAAGAAAAGAATCTTTTAGGCCAGGCACGGTGGCTCATGCTGATGGTCCCAGCACTTAGGGAGGCAAAGTTAGGATTGTTTGAGGTCAAGAGTTGAGACCATCCTGGGCAACATAGCAAGACCTTGTCTCTGCAAAAAAATGTTTAAAAAATGAACTAAGCATGGTGGCTCCTGCCTGTAGTCCCAACTATTCAGGAGGCTCAGGTGGGAGGATCACTTGAGCCCAGGAGTTTGAGGTTGCAGTGAGCTATAATGATACCCTTCACTTTAGTCTGGGGGACAGAGTAAGATCCTGTCCCAAAACAAAAAAGAACTTTTCCTTTGCACTCACAACTTGGTGAGCTGTTTGGCACAAGACACCTAGCATTTGGCCTATGTCAGCTTTCAACTTGCCTTTCTCACTAAGCTTAATGTTCTCTAGCTTTTGATTTAAAGTGAGATACATGCAATGGTTCCTTTCAGTTGAACACTTAGAGCCCATTGTAAGCTTATTAGTTGACCTAATTTCAATATCATTGTGTCTCAGGGAACAGGGAGGCCTAAGGAGAGGGAGAGAGATAGAATGGCCAATCCGTCCAGCAGTCAGAATACACACAACGTTAATAGATTAAGTTCTCTCTCTTACACAGGTGCAGTTCATGGTATCTCAAAACAATTATAATGGTAACCTCAAAGATCACTGATAACACATCACTGTAACAGATATAATATTAATGAAAAAGTCTGAAACATTGTGAGAATTACCAAAATTTGACACACAGACATGAAATGACCACACACCATTGGAAAAATGGTGGAAATAGATGTGTTCAACATAGCATTGCCACAAACCTTCAATTTGTGAAAAACAAAATATCTATACAAGGCACAGTAAAGTGAAGCACAAACCAAAGTATGCCTGTAGTGGATGTAATGGGATACTTTGGAAATTCATTTTTAGGGAAGTGGTTCTCAAACTTGTATGTATACAGATTCCTAACAACCACCCCTAAAAATTTGCAATTTGGGAGATAAAAAATGAGACCCTGGAATCTGCAATTTTTGACAACACCCCAGGTGATTGATAGACCATTCTATTGAGAGTCACATATAGAGTAGTGATTAAGACCTTGGACTTCAGTCAGGTAAGGTTTGAATGCCAACTCTGCCCCTTATTGTATGACTGTGGGCAAGTTACTTAGTCTGTTTGAGCCTGACTTTCCTCTTTTGTATAATGGAGCAGTCAAAAAGGCAGTCAGGCACAGTTCCTGTAATATACTGTGTTTAATAGATTTTTAATTGTTGTAGGCAAACCTTAGATATTGCAGATTTGGGTCCAGACCACTGCAATAAAGTAGATATTGAACTAAAGTGAGTCACATGAATGTTTTGGCTTCCTAGTACATACAAAATTATATTTACACTATATTGTAGTCTGTTACATATGTAGTAGCATTGTCTTACAAAAGATGTATATCCCTTAATTTAAAAATATTTTGGGCCAAGTGTGGTGGCTCATCAGCCTGTAATCCTAGCACTCTGGGAGGCCAAGGCGGGTGGATAATTTGAGCTCAGGAGTTCGAGACCAGCCTGAGTAAGAGCGAGACCCCGTCTCTACTAAAAATAGAAGGAAATTAGCTGGACAACTAAAAAATATATATAAAAAATTAGCCGGGCATGGTGGTGCATGCCTGTAGTCCCAGCTACTCGGAAGGCTAAGGCAGGAGGATCGTTTGAGCCCAGGAGTTTGAGGTTGCTGTGAGCTAGGCTGACGCCACTGCACTCTAGCCCAGGCAACAGTGTGAGACTCTGTCTCAAAACAACAACAACAAAATATATATTTTGTTGTTAAAAAATGCTAACAAAGTGAGCACATACTCTT